CGGACCCGCGTGACCTTGCAGAATCTCCAACATGCTCTATGGCACTCTATGGACTCCATGGACCAAAAACAAGTCTTACAAGCACAAGTTCAGCCTGCGATGGGAGCAGCATAAACCTCAGTAAACCCAATTCCCACAGACAACAAAAGAGTAATAAACAGAAACAGCGGTCCAGTCCAGAAAGTGTTCCTGTTGCCAGATCAGGCTGCTGACTGCGCTTACAGCGCTTGCAACGCTCACAGCACTTCTGCCTGGAGCCTAGCATCATTCTCAAACCAATGAAGTTCAAATGCAAGGGCCAAGGGGACAAAGAGCATATACATATAAATATATACATATACACATAGTTTTACGACGTTTTTTGTATATTTTGTATATATGTCTTTTTTGAAACACTCCTCATCTGTCCCCTTTCACATCTGTCAGAAGCTGCGCCATTCGGGCATCTTTGACAAGAAACGCCAACCCTTCGGTGCGGTCATTCAAACTACATGCTGGAAAGAGTCACCGCAACACACTCCTTCAATACAAATAACAAGTAGTGACAAGGGCATCGCTACTAGGAGCAAGAACGCTACTACTAGCTCCTGGCCTTACTACTTGGAACAAGAAGCTTACTAGTGTGGACCACTACATTGTCAATTGGCTACATCCGATGCTAAGCAACAAACTGATGTCTGTCCAAGCGGTGTTCGACCTGATCATCAGCCACAAGCGCTGAGCTGTATACAACAGCACTTCTGCTCAATTCTCCTGGATCCTTTTGATCATGTTGCATTCTGAATTGCTTTCTACTAGTAGTAGTAGTAGTAGAAGTAGAAGTAGAAGTAGTAGCAGTAGTAGTAGTAGTACGAGTAGTAGTAGTACGAGTAGTAGTAGTAGTAGTAGTAGTAGTGGTAGTGGTAGTGGTAGTGGTAGTGGTAGTAGTATAGTAGTAGTAGTAGTAGTAGTAGTAGTAGTAGTAGTAGTAGTAGTACGTAGTTAGTAGTTAGTAGTTAGTAGTTAGTAGTACGTAGTTAGTAGTTAGTAGTACGCAGTACGTAGTACGTAGTACGTAGTACGTAGTAAGTAGTAGTAGTAGTCGTCGTCGTCGTCGTCGTAGTAGTAGTAGTAGTAGTCGTAGTAGTAGTAGTAGCAGTAGTTAGTAGGTAGTAGGTAGTACGTAGTACCTAGTACGTAGTACCTAGTACGTAGTACCTAGTACGTAGTACGTAGTAGGTAGTAGGTAGTAGGTAGTAGGTAGTACGTAGTACGTAGTAGGTAGTAGGTAGTAGGTAGTAGGTAGTAGGTAGTAGTAAGTAGTAGGTAGTAGTAAGTAGTAGGTAGTAGTAGTAGTAGTAGTAGTAGTAGTAGTAGTAGTAGTAGTAGGTAGTAGGTAGTAGTAGGTAGTAGTAGGTAGGTAGCAGGTAGGTAGTAGGTAGGTAGTAGGTAGGTAGTAGGTAGGTAGTAGGTAGGTAGTAGGTAGGTAGTAGGTAGGTAGTAGGTAGTAGGTAGTAGGTAGTAGGTAGTAGGAAGTAGTAGTAGTAGTAGTAGTAGTATATTTTATATATGCATTATGATGCAGTTCAACCCTCAACATGTTTCTTCAAAACACCTCAGAACCAAGAGACTTCGAAGTGTACTGCGTTGAACGGGGACTGAGCCCGCGGGAATCACCTTGAAAAGCTTGGGTTAAGCTGATGAACCGATGGCGAAGCGCATGAAAAGAAGTCATGAATCATGAAATGTGGTTTAAAAAGAAAATATTTAGAGTGATGAATTACACCACCGTAGACCCCAAACAGTTTGTGTTTTTTGAATCGGAACACTCTGCAACTAGAGCCTGCGACGTCCAGAGGTGGGAGACAAAGGATTGCAAGGCAGAGGCGGCCACAGCAGTCCAGAGCTGGGAGACAAATGTAGACACAGTGTGCAAGCGAGATGGAGACACATGCAAAGGCTTGCGAGGACACATGTAAAGGATTGCAAGGCAGAGGCGGACACAGCCGTCAGAGCTGGGAGACACATGTAAAATTAAGGATTGCAAGGGAGAGGCGGACACAGCAGCCCAGAGCTGGGAGACAAATGTAAAGGATTGCAAGGCAGAGGCGGACACAGCAGTCCAGAGCTGGGAAGAAGAGGAGACAAATAAAAGGAAGTGGGAGACAAGCCAGCCGGGAACCCGACCAGAAGCACCCAGCCTGGGAGACAAATGAAAAGAACTGGGAGACAAGTGAAAAGAAGTGGGAAACAAATTAGCCCAGCTGGAGACCCCAATAGCAAGATACAAACCGGGACAAAAAGAAAAATCTGGAAACAGCTGCTGTTTTCAACACATCGACCATCTCTTCCTTGGACACCATCATCACATAACCGGGACACCATCACAAAATGACCAGGGCACCATCAAAACATGACCGAGACACCGTCACAACATGATTGGGACACCATCACAACATAACCAGGACACCATCACAAGGTGACCGGGACACCAGCATGACATGACGGGGACACCATCACAACATGACCGGGACACTATCACAACATGACCGGGACACCGTCACATGACCCGAACACCATCAAAACAAAACCGGCGCACCGCCAAAACATGACCAGGACACCATCACAACATGACCGGGACACCATCAAAACATGACCGGGACACCGTCACAACATGAGCGAGACACCATCACAACATGACTGGGACACCGTCACAACACGACTGGGACACAATCACAACATGACCGGGACACCATCACAAGGTGACCGGGACACCAACATGACATGACGGGAAAACCATCACAAGATGACCAGGACACCATCACAACATGACCGGGACACCGTCACATGACCCGGACACCATCAAAACATAACCGGCACACCGCCAAAACATGACCAGGACACCATCACAACAGGACCGGGACACCATCAAAACATGACCGGGACACCGTCACAACACGACCGGGACACCATCAAAACATGACCGGGACACCATCACAACATGACCGGGACACCATCAAAACATGACCGGGACACCATCAAAAAAACAGGACCGGGACACCATCACAACATGACTGGGACACAGTCAAAACATGATCGGGACACCATCACAACATGACCGCGCCACCATCACATGATCGGGACACCATCAAAACATGACCGGGACACCGTCACAACATGATCGGGACACCATCACAACATCACCGCGCCACCATCACATGATCGGGACACCATTACAACATGGGACACCTTCAAAACATGACCGTGACCGGGACACCATCAAAACATGACCGGGACACCATCAAAACAGGACCGGGACACCATCACAACATGATTGGGTCACAATCAAAACATGATCGGGACACCGGGACACCAGCATCACATGACCCGGACGCCATCAAAACATGACCGGGACACCATCCGCCCACCAGCTCTGACGGTGACCCGACGGCGCCCGTCCGCCTATTAGTTTTGCAAGACCCCATAGCATGGCTATTGGGGAATGAAAGGAAGTGGGAGACAAGCCAGCCGGGAACCCGACCTGGGACAAATGAAAAGAACTGGGAGACAAATGAAAGGAAGTGGGAGACAAGCCGGCCGGGAATCCGACCAGACCACCAAAAGCGTGGGAGACAAATGAAAAGAACTGGGAGACAAGTGAAAAGAAGTGAAAGGAAGTGGGAGACAAGCCAGCCGGCAACCCGACCACAAGCACCCCGCCTGGGAGACAAATGAAAAGAACTGGGAAACAAATGAAAAGAAATGAGAGACAAGCCAGCTGGGAACCCGACCGCAAGCACCCAGCCTGGGAGACAAATGAAAGGAATTGGAAGACAAATGAGAAAAAGTGGGGGACACATGAAAGGAAGTGGGAGACAAGCCAGCCAGGAACCCGACCACAAGCAACCAGCCTGGGCGACAAATGAAAAGAATTGGGAGACAAATGAAAGGAAGTGGGAGACAAGCCAGCCTGGAACCCGACCACAAGCACCCACCCT